AGAGAGAGAGAGAGAGAGAGAGAGAGAGAGAGAGAGAGAGAGAGAGAGAGAGAGAGAGAGAGAGAGAGAGAGAGAGAGAGAGAGAGACAGGTTGGTAGAGACAGACACACAGACCGACCAACTGACCACCCACACACCCACCCACTGGCCGACACACTGATCAACTGGGCGAGAGAGACACAGTCAGGGAGGCAGGAAGACAGGCAGACCTACTGACAGACTGACAGATGAACTGACCAAACGCTGGACAGACCAATGGACAGACACACACTGTCACACAGACAGGCAGACAGATGGACACACGGACGGATGGACAAACTGAACAAGCCTCAGGGATGGACCCAATGGCATGGAGTCATGGACAAACAGATGGACGGACCGACCGACAGACAAACAGAGAGGCAGACAGACAGACAGACAGACAGACATACCGGCAGACAAGCTGACTGACTGACCTACCTTTTGACAAACAGACAGACACATACACAAACATACAGAGACACACACAAACAGACAGACACTGTCAGATCAAAACAATGATTGCTAGGTCAGAGCATTGAAGACTTCCCACCCAACCCTGCGTCAACCAGCGCATCCTCAAATAGCTTATCCAAAATGTCAGTCCAGCTTGAAGTTAGCACCTTTCAACATCCTCATTGTGTATGTTTATGATGGCTTATATATTGCGGGCCCGATTGGAAATCTTCGGGCTTTGAAAAAGGCTAGCTGAAGGAGCAGGGGGAACAATCTATAGTGAGGGAGGAGGAGGAGGAGAAAGAGGTGGAGAAGGGGGAGGCGAAGAAGAAAGAGAAGAAGCCGAATCAGATGGTGAGGAGGTGAAGGAAGATTAGGAGAATGAGGAGCAAGATAATGATGATGATGATGATGATGATGATGATGATGAGGACGAGGAGGAGGAGGAGGAGGACCAAGAAGGGATTTTGAACGTTGGTAGCCATATCGGAAGAAAACCACCCCAATTTGTCGCATCCCACGTCAGCTTTGCCTCCAAAGCATCATTATCATCAGTTTCACAGTCCTCTCCAGTGCCACTTAGCTCCATTTGTTGGACTTCTTTGGAATCACTACCACAAGAGGTATCTGTCCACTGCCTGCACTCATGGGAGTCATGTTGGGACTACAGCTAAACACTAGTGACCTGTGACTAGTCCACTTTCTTCCCCCTTCCTGCACATGACATTAAACTTCATTGGCAGGTATATTCATTACAACGTTTCTCCTCAAACCCCATTGCATAAGAATGATAAGAGTGAATCTTCGCTAGCGCATGAGTGAATCTTCCGCTAGAACATGGAAAGATATATCTTGCCCGCTAGAACATGAGTGAACCTTCCGCTGTATCTTTCCATGTTCTAGCCGAAGACTCACTCT